GACATTTCTGTATACAAATATTTGAAGTATTCCCAAGCCTAACATCATTGTGGATAAAAGTCCCTGATAATGTTAAAGTTATTGGCTCTCTTTATTTGATGAGATGGAAGAATAATATTCTCCTAGTTAACGTATTGAGCCCTTAGCTAGTCTCTCTTATTAAAGCTTACCAAGCAAAACTATAATATGAATTCCTTGCTCAAGGAAACTGAAGAAATAAGTTTACCAATGATTAGGATAAGATGAAAATTTGAATAAAGCATGTTAAGTAAAAAGTTGAGAAGAAACTATGGAAGCAGGTTTTCTAATAGAAAAATATTTAGATAACAAGATGAAATATCAAACTCTTTCAATCTAAGAAGAAAGAATAGTGGCATCTATCTCTATTTCCAAACTTTAAGGAAGTATAGAAAATAAGTGCCAAATTACGTATGTTTTTTGTAAGTTTAAAATGTTTATTGAATTCAAATGAAAAGAAATTGAAATTATAAAAATTAGTAGGTTAAATAAAAAATAATTTATCAGCTTCTGATTGATGGCTTTTCAAATAATTTAAGACAGAACCATTAAAAATTTGATGGGATTAGTAATGTAAAAAATCCAAAATTTTTAAATAATCAAACACTTCTAATGTAAATTATTCACTGATATAACTGAGGATACTATTATCCTATATTTTGCCTTTTGACCCTTTTTAGAAAGTTTTGATTAACTATCAATTTTTTAATTTAATTTAGTTTAAATAAATAAGATAATTGATATTCAATTTTTAGAGAGAGTTTTATCGGGTTTTTAAAGATCAGTCGAATTTTGTTATTTTCTCATGCTCCAGATCATTTAACAGAATTTAATCCAAAAATTTACTTCTATTCCAGGTTTTCAATTTTGAAAATATAATATTTTTTACATAAGAAAAAGTAGATGGCGATAAGCAAACATTAAATTTTTCGGAGCTTAGACAGGGAAAATAAGAATAAAATCATTTATTTCTGAAAAACCCTATATTTTGAAAAAAAAGTTTTTTGGTTTCATCAAAAGGATTTCGAACTCAGAATTTTGGACCTAACTTTGTAAGTTTTCTTTTTCAATTGATTAAAGTATTCATAATAATTAACTTTTCTCTAACCTATTTAAAAATATCCTTGAAGACAGCACAAATATTAAATGCTAATAATATAAATATTAATGTAAATTTATTCGGTGCCTTTTAAAAAAATTAATTTTTTATTCTTAGGCTATGACTTAGAAATCCAACAATTCCATAAAAAAAGTCCAAAATTATTTTGAGTAAATTACTCTAGTTAGATTTTAGGATCCAATTCGTATTAATGATAGAATAGCCCTTTAATTTGATAATTAAATTATTTTACTAATTCCCATCGTTATTAAAACATAAGAAACCTACTGACTATATTAAGCCTATATTATAATTGTTGTGCTTTCTTTTCCTTGAAAATTAGTGTTATTTAAAATTCGATTTAATTGTTTAAATGCTTTTTGCTTATTTAGATTTAAATTATAGAATGGATTTTAATTATAATTATAAATAAATTTCATGAAAAATTAATAAAAAAATCATATCGCAATTAAAACAATAATGATTCAAAGGAAATTTTCCTATTTCATTTCCATAAATAATTTAATTAATTATTTTTTTAATGGAAAGCAATCATCATTGCGGTTTACCTTATTCATATTTTCAAAGGTTTACCCTATTCAAGAAGTTTGGTTGTTTAAATAACAAATTATATTCACTATTATTAAATTTTCATTTATCAAAACGAGTGAAAGCAGTTCTATATAGTTAAGAAAATCTGAAAGTGTGAGAATTGACAAATAAAAAATAATATATAGTAAAGAATCCTCTTAAGGTGGTCAACTTTTGAAAACTAATTTTATTGCATTATAATTATCTATTAACAATAGAGAAACTATTAATTTGATTTAATCTTATAAAATAATTTGCAATTTTTTGTCACTTAATCAAGAATTCAAATAAGTTTTCTACTCTAAATGATAAAAATTTAAGTGGATTAAAAATAAATTAAAAACTAATTATTTGATAAAAGGGATGTAAAATCAGCGTTTCCTCTCAAATGAAGATATCTGATTTTATCATATTCCTTTTGATTAACAAATAGAAACATACAATAATTATAATTAAGTAAACTTTCTCATTTAACTTATTTCTTTAGAATTACAAATTTGTTATAAAAATAAGAAAACATCATTTTTGAATTCAATACAAATAAAATTAAAGATGACTTTATGAAATGGTAAAATTATTTCATTTTAATTATAAATTTGGAATATTATCGAATATTTTAAGTTTAGATTAATAAATATTAACACATGGATATAATTCTTATGATATTGATGTATCTATTTGCTACTACTAATAATAGATTTGATAGTTACAAGTATTAGAAATGGATTATTTTATTTAGTCCATTTAATATATTTATGTTCAATACTAACTTCCATTATTATTATATCATTACTTGTAAAAGTGAATGATAATTATTTATTGTCTACATCTTTATTATGATGTGAGAATGTATAACCATCTTAACGTATTAAATATGATCTATTATGATTAATATTTAATACCCAAACCCAAATCCACAATTTTAATAATTATTTTTTTATATAATATCTCTGAATCCAATTCCAATACGAATACTTGTTCCACTAAGCATTTAGAATGCAAACATTGTTTTCCCAATCTTTGGAATTGCTTATTCACAAAGACAATAATTATTAATACTACTAGATTCAACAACTTTTCCAAATTCACTTATTTAACAAATTGAACTCTTATAAGTATTAGAAAATGATAACCTTTTATTATATTCTTA